TGTGTGTGTGTGTGTGTGTGTGAGAGTGTGTGTGTGAGTGAGTGAGTGAGTGTGTGTGTGAGAGTGTGTGTTTTTGTGACAAATGAGGATTTGTGAGGATTTGTATAATGACAAAGGTATAACATAGGTATTACAAGGAGAAGGTGACTTTTCAGGACATTACCCCATGTCCCCACTTTTCAAAACGCTTATAAATCACCCAGAATGGAGTGTATTGAAAATCTGAAATAGCACAAAGTTTCCTGTGAGGGGATGGTATGAACGGCGCGCATGTCCTGGAACGAGAAGAGCCCGGCCCAGCTGGAGTCCTCCGGGAGCTCCGCCGGCGCGTCATCGGGCTCCGGTGCCTCCAGCTCCGCGCTGCGGGCGGCTCTGCTGGGCTCGGTTCGCTCTCGGCCCGGGCTCTCGGTCAGGGGAGGCGCGTCTTCCTCGAGCAGCGAGTCCCGCGCGGCGCTCCGTTTCTGGACGGTTCGGTCGTGGCACGTGACGGCGAACTTTCCTTCGATCTCGTTCCAGGCGACGATGAAGACGAACTTGTGCTTCTCCTTCTCCTCGAAAACATTCGGTCGCACCGACACCCACCCGGACTCCAGCGCGTCCTCCATCGCGAACGACATGATAATGAGAAAGCAAGCGAGCTCAAACGGAATCCGGGCTCCTCGGCAGAAGAAAGGCCAGACTAACGGACGCGGATGAAAACACTCGGTCCGGTAATATCCACGATTTCCCGTCTGTTCTTGTGTCCCGACTCGTCCGCTGACGCGCGCATCGCTACGCGTTCACACCTGCGCGCGTCGCGTCACCCGCGAGGCCTTTTGTGCGCTAATCCGCATCTTTAACATCGCGACTGTTTCTCATCCGACGACGACTGGGCGCTGACGTCACAGAGAGGAGGACGTAAACATCTGCACGTGGGACACGCACTCTGCGTGATGACGCAATCAGAGACGCAGGCGACGCACGGTGGTCTAGACCAGAGAAACACATATAGATAGATTCACAGAAAGTAACTTTGCAGTCTTTTCCCCCTCAGATGTTTTGTTTATCGTGTTTTATCAAGAAAATGCTTTATCAGTGTCGTTTTTACTCTAATGCTGGTTTCTATGAGAGAGCACTGATCATCTCTCTGATCAATAATTGATGAAGCGCGCGGCTATAAATGTCTGTTCAATAGCTTAACTCTCGTCACGTGATCCGTTACATTCATGAGTAATGCATGAGACGCCGCTTTGTGTTTATTTCAGTGTTTTTCTCGGTGAATGTCGATTCTCGTCCACTAGATGGCGCCACTGGCCGACACACGTGCAGCATAACATTAGTTCACCTCCAGAATAAAACCTCCTGATAATTTCACCTCCATGTCATCTGAGATGTTCATGTCTTTCTGTCTTCAGTCGCAAAGAAATTAAGGTTTTTGATCTTTCCAGCGAGTGCAAGACCAGCATCTGTGGTTAAAAAGTATAGAAATGTTTATTTTTTTAGTAAATGAGCTATGGTTTCTGTAGATAAGACTCTTATTTCTCGGCTGGGATCCTGTAGAGCTCTTAGAAGCTGCTCTGAAACTGATTTGATCTTCAGCACGTTGGTCTCCATTGAACTCTATGAAGGTAGAATGACGTCAAAAAGATTTGCATACGCAGGATAAGAGTTGTGGAAGTGTACATAAGACTGTAAGCGTAAATTAAATTTGCATGCGCAAGAGAAGCTTTGTAAAGGTGTAAATCGTGTTTCAAGCGCAAGAAAACATTATTGACGTCATTCTACCTTCGTAAACTCCATTATATGGAGAAAAATCCTGGAATGTTTTCCTCAAAAACGGTGTTCTCAGAACGTGCTGGCAATGCTCTCTCAATGTGATGAGCAAACGTTTCTGCAGTAAGGGTAACCAAACGTTCAAAGTTATCTGGTCTTTCAATACTGCATCTTCGTGTTAGTTGAATGTTCATCTCACATTTTTTTAAACGTCACTTCTCGTTTTCAGATTTTTGTTTTATTTCACAGTCTGTGTACTATTGCTGTTTTTGTACACTTCTGTCCTTGTGTATGTGAACATACTTATCAATATAAAGCGGAGAGTTCCGGTGCTTGATTCTGATTGGCTGAGCCGCGTTCGAAGCTGTTGTAAATGACGCTACAAAGTAACATACACCTTTGTTTACGTTTGTGTGTTGCTCGGCAACCACTTTGTTGCAACCACAACTGTTTCTGAGGAGCTACATTGTTTGGTGGAAGAATACGGTTTTTATTAATATCATTACACTTTATTTGCTCTGTTTTATTTTGTGAAACCTTACTACGTATATGGAATAACCGTTTTATAAAAGCAATAAGCCCCGAGAAGCCGTGGTTTATAACAGCTAAGGGGCTTTTAGGCACTCCGCTTCGTAATAACGCCCCTTAGCTGTTATAAATTCACTGTAAACCACGGCTTCACAGGGCTTATTGCTTTAATAGATCTCATGATTCTGATTGTGATCACCGTATGTTTAATGATTGAAATCCCATTAATTTATTAAATAACTCCATGACAAAGAGAGTGATTGAGATCATGATGAGTTGTTATTGAGCATCAGGAATCCGACTCTTGAATGGAAGCTCTGGTCGGACTGGAGTGTTCCGAACATCTGGAATGCAGCGCCGCCACATGGGTCATGTGACTGATCCGTGATGTTAGCGTGATGCACGGCGGCTCAGAAAGCAATCAAATACAGAATGGCCTCTAACGGCACAATTACACTTCATCTGGTTTCTAAAGAGCTTCTGGTCCTGCTGAAGTAAACAATCCTATTCATGAAATCAGTGTTTGTAAACGTACAATAAGGAAGGAAAGAGGTAGACAGATTATTTCTCTAAGTGTCTCCTATAGTACCGCAGGTTTCTAAACGCGGCGTGGCTCGACCTCTGACCCTCAGTGTTTGCCGTCGGCTTTCTGGAAGAGCGGACGCAGCTGCTCCGCGGTCGTGGCCTCCTTCTGCTGCATGAGCTCGGTGTGACCTTTGGTGACCCCCCAGCTGTCAGGAGTGGACATGGAGGGACACAGCGGGCGACCGGACGCCGGCTTCAGCCGCTCCCAGTAATCACGACGGGCCCTGCGGAGCAAACATCCATCAGTGTCACAGACACATGTTCTCTCTCTCTCTCTCTCTCTCTATGTCACAATTCAATTCTATTAAGCTTTATTAGCATGACTGTGTAACACAATGTTGCTAAAGCATTAACATATATATAACAACAACATAAATAATAATAAATAAAATCCATCTAAATAAATGAAAAGATAAAGTAAGTCAGTATCGAGTTAATCATGTTTAACATCTAACATTGTGAATGGCTAACACATATTTAGCAGCTAGTGCAGCTGTGTTGTCATCTTCTCCAAGCAAAAAGGGCATTTTCTCAGTATCACTAAGTTCAGTAAATGATGGGATCAGGGCTTCAAACTGTGTCTCTCTCTCTCTCTGTGTCTCTCTCTCTCTCTCTATCTATGTCTCTGTCTCTCTCTCTCTCTCTCTCTCTCTGTGTCTCTCTCTCTCTCTCACTCTCTCACCGGGCTCGGACCCAGGGTTTGGTGTGCATTTCCAGGCCGCTGCCCCACATGCCGTGTTTCTGAGAGGCTTCGGGCAGGATTCCTCTCTCGGTTGCCAGCTCCTCGGCCACGGCACGGATGTGGTACGGCTCGAACCCGCAGCAGCCGCCGATGTAACGGATTCCCGCCTTATAGGCCTCTCTGGCGTAATGCTGCATCTCCCAGCGCGTGAGGATCCGCGGCTCCAGAGCTGGAGAACACCACATACATCAGCTTCTCCATCACATATTAAAACACAGATACACTCTATTAGTGATCATGAGACTCACAATTATAACAACTGTGAGTCAGTGGAGTGTGATGATGCGTTTCCACACTTCTTAACGTAAACATTTTTTTTTTAACAAAAATGTTATATAAACTAAATTTAATAGAATTAAAACAGTAAGTTTGACATCTTTCTCTCTTCTGACCAACGGAATCTCTCCATATTCATTTCCTCTTTCGGAAATTCTTAGAAATGCAATTTGTTCTTTTGTTATTGGAGCAAATGGAAACGCAAAAATTATATTTGTTGTAGTTTCTGTTGAACATTATTGATATTTGATATACATTCTTGTACATTTAATGTTCTCTGAACGTCCTTATGAAGTTATTTGTACGTTCACAGAACTACGTTCAGTAACACTCTTCAGTAATAACAACAGAACTTTCTCATTTTCAAAATGATTGAATGGAACGTTCCTCTAACGTTTGCATAACCAAAAAGAAACATTCTTAATGCATTAAAAAACTGGACATTTTGAATGTTTAAAAAGACATTCAGAAATAATACTTTCGTAACTTAATGTTACTGAAATTTTCTTATATATATATATATATATATATATATATATGTATATATATATATATATGTATGTATATATATATATGTGCTTTCCTGTTGCCTTCAGAACCTGGACGGCCCATTCAGCCTCCTCCACGTGCTCGAAGTACTGCAGATCAATCAATCAATCAACTACAGTCAGTGAGCACGTGATGAGAAATGTTTGAGTTCTTGTTGAGATCTCACGTGTGGTTTATATTCAGTTTTATTTATCATTTATATATTATAAATTATAAATTATATAATAATATATA